TCAATGCCACAAACATTTGTTCCAGGTGCTCAATGATCTGAGGGCCAATGGCAGCAGTGGTTAGATCCCTTTAAAGGGATTTTAACCAATCAATAATGGTCTGAAAAATCAAAATTACAAAATAGCAAAATGCACGACTATTTGATAAGATTTTTGTACATAGATGTTTTTTTAAAGTCCATTAAGGAACACATGATTGTAGTAATTCTTGGACATATGGGATGTCTAAAAGCAGGCTTGATGGGGAAAGAGTGACCAAATATGGAAAAGGCCATGGAAATTACACCACAGATTAACCTGGTGCTCCAGATCAGGACAGATTATGCTGGAAGGGAATCTGGTACAATGAACCTCATCTAGCAATGTGGCTGACAACCAATTGCTCACCTTATGGAAAAAGCAGGTGGAACAATAACTACCTGAAGAGAAAAAAAAAACAACTTAGAACAGCGCCTAAAGTGGCCCACAAAAAAAAGTTTTTAGAGATGTTACATAATAGTGGAGTCATCTCTAAAAAAGATATTATGAGAGCCCTCTGAGCAGTAAATCAAAATGAACATAGAAAAAAGGATAGCAATCCAAAATCCTTTAAAAGTGAGGGTGATGCAGAACACCTATATAAGGGGATAGGAAGGGATGAGGATACCTAGTAACACCAATTGGTAAACAAGACAACAGGAGTAGAAGGAAGATAAGGAATCCCTCCAATTTACACCCAAAGTTTTTTTTATGATGTGACTGCCATGGTAGAACCTGAGTATTAAAAATATGATTCTAAAAACCAATAAACCTGGTCCTGTAAAGGGCAGAATCCTCTGTAGAGGAGTTAGGGTTAGAAACCCACCTATGAGCTCCAAGAATAAGTGCAAAAAAGGAAATATTTTCCAATAATTAGGTCCTACAAAGGTCTCTGGACTTACAATATCACTCTAAGGGGTATAGTACAGTCGGATAATACAGAGTTCTGTTTTTTGACCCTGCAAAAAGGTACAGGGCTATTATTAATACATGCTTCATTGAGAGGAGGAAAGAAGTGCATTCAGGTGAAAGATTCTCACTTTTAAAATGAGCAACATCTAAATCAGTGATCTGAAACTTGTCTGTTTTTTAGAATCAGACTGAAGGAGTAAGTGAGGGGATATATCCAATGGGAGATTGCTTCCTTGATGAGAAGAGGGAGAGTCCAAACTCACTTGAGTATACATGTAAGTATAGAGGTATATATAGTTACATAGTATTTGAGGTTGAATAAAGACATTAGTCCATCAAGTCCAACCTATTAGGATCTCATTCTAGGAGTACCTGTACCCCTGTATATTACGGTCCCTTAAGAAATCGTCCAAAAGTTTATTGAACAATTCCACATTATTTGCTGAAATCACGGCCTGTGGCAGTGAGTTCCAGACCCTAACTGATCTTACTGTGAAGAACCCCCTTCGCCCCTTGTGCTGGAATTTTTTTCCCACCAATTTTAGGTATATCTCAGTCTATTTACGGGAGATGAGCTACCTATTTGTTATATTCACTTAATGATTTATTTATTTATACACCTCAATACTTACATGTATACTCAAGCGAGTTTTGTATTTACTAGGGATGTTCATATACCAAGTACCGTACTCCGTACAAGTACAGATACTTTTCCAGCTCAGAGACTATACTAGAGCTCCTGGGATTTGTACATCCCCATTTTAATGCATTATTTTTTTTAAATAAATATATGTAAGTGATGTACCGATACCATTTTTGCAAGTACAAGTACTGATACTCGTCCAAGTACTTACAAGTACGAGTACTGATACATTTTTGTTTATTGTCATGTGGCATTTTTTCAAAAACAATACAGACTAATGATTTCAGGACCGTGGTGGAGAGCCAGAGCTAGGTCCCAGCTGCAACCCTGGTTGTTCTTGTGAAAATGCCAAGTATCGGCACTGGTATCTGGACATCCCTAGTATTTACAATATACTGTATATATTTATTCTTGTGCACTGTTTTACACCCTGCACAGTTAAGAGGAGGATTGCTCTTTAGTGTGATTGAATTATAACACTAGACTTAAATTTGTACTGGTGGTTTGGAGACTATGACATGTATAGATGGGATTAGAAGTTTCCTTATGTTCTATTGACTTACTTACACCGGCTGGTTTAGAGTTAACCAGTCAATCATTGAGCAGTTCTTCCTGCATCTGTGTAGGATGGAGTTTCTGAACACATTTAACTGAGGTACTGGTTTGTATTTGTAAACGCTATGAATAAGCCTATGGGTGAAACGCGTAAGTGGTTTTATATTGTCGGGGGTTTGCGGTGCTGGTGTTTATCGTTATATATACTGTTATATTGGATTTGCTGTGGATTTCAATAAAAGCCTGAAGCATTGGAACTCTTTGGAGGGGCGGTCTGTTTGTATACCACTATATTTCAAGGTGAAAACGCAGAAGACAGTTGCCTATCTTCCCAGGAGCGGATGATCCAACAAATTCCCCCCAATGTCAGACCGTGCAATGCTCAGAAAAAAACAAAAAAAAAACAAGGTGTTACATCTCAGACTCTACAGCCCTCAGTTAGCATGTTAAACTTCATGACAATTACAATTAGAAAAAGACTGAACAAGTATGGTAAGTTTGGAAGGCTTGCCAGGAGAAAGCCTCTATACAAAGAACATGGCAGCACAGCTTAGGTTTGTAAAGTTTCATCAGAACAAACCACAAGACCTCTGGCACAATGTCCTTTGGACAGATGAGACCAAAGTGGAGATGTTTGGCCATATGGCACAGTTCCATTTTTATCAAAAACCAAAACACAGCATATAGGCACAACCACCTCATACCAACTCTCAAGCACGGTGGTGGAGGGGTGATGATTTGGGCTTGTTTTGCAGCCACAGGACCTGGGCACATTGCAGTCATGGAGCTGACCATGAACTCTTCTGTATACCAAAGTATTCTAGAGTCAAATATGAGGCCATCTGTCTGACAGTTAAAGCTCGGCTGAAATTGGGTCATGCAACAGCACAATGATCTCAAGAACACCAGCAAATCTACAACAGACTGAATGAAAATTAAAAGAATCATGGTGTTGCAATGGCCCAGTGAAAGTCCAGACCTCAACCTGATTGAAATGCTGTGGCGGGACCTTAAAGGAGAACTATGACTTAAGGGCAAATAAAAATACCCCTTACCTTGATTGTAGTAGCATCGTTCTGTTTTTCTAAATTCGCAGCACATCACAGATAAAAAGCCCGCCCACGGCTTTTTTTTCAAATGGTATAATTGCTGTGGCCGCGCTTCCTCTCATCGTGCACAGCTGTGTTTTGACAGCTCGTGCACGCAGGCTCCTTCCCCTCTCTCTCTCTCTCTGCATGCCCTGTGTGACGCTGACATCCTCAATTCACTGGGGATCGCTGATGAGAGAGGGGAAGGAGCCCTCTCTCTCTCTTCAAAATTTACTACAAATCGTAAAGTCCATATAAGGTAAATTATGTCACTGGAGATCCCTGCTGATCGGATCCGCTGATCGGATCCGATCAGCGGATCCGATCAGCAGGGATCTCCAGTGACATAATTTACCTTATATGGACTTTACGATTTGTAGTAAATTTTGAAGAGAGAGAGAGGGCTCCTTCCCCTCTCTCATCAACGATCCCCAGTGAATTGAGGAGGTCAGCGTCACACAGGGCATGCAGAGAGAGAGAGAGAGGGGAAGGAGCCCTCTCTCTCTCTTCAAAATTTACTACAAATCGTAAAGTCCATATAAGGTAAATTATGTCACTGGAGATCCCTGCTGATCGGATCCGCTGATCGGATCCGGTCAGCAGGGATCTCCAGTGACATCATTTACCATATATGGACTTTCCGATTTGTATTAAATGCTGAAAAGAGAGAGAGCTCCTCCCCCTCTGTCATCAGCGATCCACGATCTGTCAGCAGAGAGAAAAAGAGAGAGTGGGGAAGGAGCTGGCACACGGGGACGTGCAGGTAAGGAGAGAGCTGCTGCGCATGTCCATATATTCGTGGACGCGCAGCAGCTCTCAAGAATCACTGTCAATCATCAGTGGGGAGGATCATGTCAGATATGACGGGATGTCTTCTCATTGCGGCGCTTAGCCCCGTCCACCACCTAAAATAAGGTTTTTACAGCCTTCCTGTGCATTTTGGCTAATTACAGTAAATTACATTATTTACTTATTTAGCCTAAGGAATTTATTCATAAAAAAAAGATAGAACCCCATAGTTCTCCTTTAAGAGAGCTGTGTATAAACCAATGTCCACAAACCTCAATGAACTGAACCAACGTTGTAAAGATGTGTGGTCCAAAATTCCACCACAACAATGTGAAAGACTGATAAAGTCATACAGAAAATGATTACTTCAAGTTATCGCTGCTAAAGGTGTTTCTATAAGCTATTGAATCATAAGGTGTACTTAGTTTTTCATCCATGGCTTCTCCCTTTTGGCTTTATCTTTGTAAAATAAATAATGACACGATGTAAAATGTCATGTGTTCCTGTTCATTTGAGGTTGGGTTTACCTAAGTTTATGACCTGCTAAGGACAGATAGTTTTAATTATGTCCTGATACTTAAAACCAACGAAATCCAAGAGGGTGCACTTTCTTTTTCACACAACTGTATAGTTGAGATGGTGATGCATCAGTGTTGCCAAGCATGTATCCGTGTCCCACATTTTAAGTAAATTATGCAATGGAGAATTGTAAAAATTTGCAATTAATATACACTATAACCAAATTATACAAAAAAGATATCACGTACAAATGAACAAGCTCTTTATTTTTCCGTGCTTACCTTCATTGGACTACATCCTAAGCACTTTACACATTATTATATTTAAAGTAATGACATGTGCCTTACAATTCTTCAACAAGACTAATACAGAGGTAGAACACTTTGATAAAAAGTGAACTTAATGGTGGCAACATTATAATGTTTCACCAATGTGTCCTATTGTAATCGGAGCTACACATGAAAGAATCAGCTCCAGATAATCACATAGACAAAGAACGGATAACAGCCACTGGATAGTTGTATCCCCTCTAGACTGTTAGATCGATTTTAGAGCTTCACCAAATTGTCCTTTTCACATTGGCCCAGACAGAGCGCTTTATTCCCTGGGTCACCTTAACATCATCCCAGTCGAGTGGTGTGTCAACTATTTCCCCTTCAGGTTCGGGAACTGTTGAAAGAGGTCCATGAGGTGTAGCCACAATTCTAGGAAGGGGACCACATTCGTCTCTAAACTCCACAACATGTAGACCTTTTCTGCTGGCTAGTTCTTGATGCGTTTCCTGTTTCAAGAAGCAAATGATTGTTTTATGAGAAGCCTTATTCTTGTGCAAGAAAAAAACATTCATCGAAAACACCTTAAAAAGGAGAATGCATTTATCTAGTGCAACCAATCCTATACCATTTTGTATCCTATAAAATGAACAAAAAGTATCTGTTATGCATGGCCAATTATCCACAATAGAAAACCATAGAACAAAGTAACAAAGCTGCTCAATAGTGGAGACTGAGTTTATCTGTAGGACTGCATAAGTAGAACTATGATCTCCCATTAATAAAAATATTTGCTGCAGCTTCTCTTAAGTAGGCTATACACTGTGCAATGAACCGGCCAAAATTCACATAGTGGGTGCTGCTGTCAACACCCTTTTACCTGGCATCCCTCGATCAGCTGATCGAAGAAGCAGGTTGTAAAATTCTCGGCCGAACAGGGTTTGGGTATTCTCACAGCGGCCACCAGCCACTGTCAGAATACAATGCAAAACAGCAGGGGATTCTTCCATCCATGCTCGGAGCGTTTATGGCGGAATCTGTTAAAATGTCTTTGTTCAGCCCACAGGTTGAACAAAGAAAATTTAGCCATGTACTGTATACCAAGCTTTGTTCACCCTTCAAAAATATCTGTTGAGTTTGCCAGTGAAGTCTACCTTATGCAGCTTCCTGTGGTGGTGTATCTGTGTCCAGGGACAATCATGTGGTCGCTGTCAGTCTGTCATTATTAACTTGAACAGGCAGAGTAGCCACATCTGTAGGGACCCACCTGAGATTCCTGCCCAAGAATCCGCAGGTTCTTGCCACAGGAATCCCCAGACATAGCCTATGCCCTGTGTGAATGGGGCCTTACAGCTAATACTCAAAACAAACACTTTTAAAAGGCCCCCATAAAGTGGACTTGTCACTAGATATTTGCTATCACATAGGGGGATTCTTAGCCCCCTTTGTAATAGCATAAAGTTAAGTGTAAAGCGTCATCTATTCAATTTTTGGTATGATAGTTTTTTGTGATTTTGTGGGTACGCGCAATTTTAAGGCTTGACATGTTTGGTGTCTATTTACCCGACGTGACCCCGTCTTTTATATTTTGCTAAACAATTGGGTAATAATAAAAGTTTCATAACTTAGAGAAAAAAATGTTTTCACAATTTCGGTACTTATTTCTATAAGTAGTAGCTGTTCCCTGAAAATGGTATAAAATTATTTTCAGGACAGCGTTGCATGACTGAATAAATGTCAGGCGGTGAAATTACAGCTCTGAATACAGAAAAATGGTCTGGAAAGGAAGGGGGTTTAACGGTCTTCAAGTGGTTAAAGTCAAAAGGATTTTAAGCTATTTCAAATGCTGATGAAATCACTTACAATGGATGTTGCTCCTTAAAAGAGAACTATGAGGTGAGTGAAAATCACTCAGCCTCATAGTTCGAGCCGACGTGTGACAATGAAACTGTCACATGTCGGCTCTATAGATCGGGAAGTGAGCGAACACATACCGTCGCTCACTCACTTCTCGATCCTGTCCCTGCAGAGAGCCGTGACTGTCACTCACAACTCTCTGCAGGGATTCTCCGCTCTCCTGTACGATCCTCCATCTTCAAGCGATGACTGGCGGAACGGACGGGAGAGGGGGCAGGCACAGCTGGCTCTGCCTCTATATAGGCAGAGCCAGCTGTCAATCACACAGCTAGGTGGATCATGACAGTAATGTCCCGGCTGCGGCAGTCTCAGTATACCGCAAGCTGTAGCTCGCGGTATACTGAACTTTGGGTCACGAGAGGATGCTAGTTTGTGTCCTCCCGTGACCCTGGGGAGAACTATGGGGAAAAGCACTGACCCCATAGTTCTCCTTTAATGTTTAAACGCTTTAGTTTCCTGCAGAATCAGCTGCTCCCCTGATCACTGGCTCTGATATCCGGTTTTAGAATGCCTCCTTTCTCAAGCAGAGTTCTATGCAGTCACCCTTGTGCGTGCTGATAAGTTATTCCCCTCCCCCCGGCCCCTCTCCTCCCATCTAGTAGATGAACAGTTGCTGGAGTCTGCACTGTCATTTGGGATCTAATACTGGACAGGAAGTTCAGGGAAGCTGAGCTGAGAGACTAAGACCCCGTTCACATTGAGAGATTTATCGCGCGGTAATTCCCGCGATATCGCGGCAAATTACCGCGCGATATCGCGCTCCAATGCAATCCAATGGGGCAAAGGGTCCTGCTGTCGCGGGTCGTGTGTCGCTACAGCAGGACCCTTTTTGGAGCGGATTTAGCCGCGATTCAAGCTTGCTCAATGCAAGCTTGAACGTGGCAAATCTCGCGATGTCGCGCAATATGCAAATCGCGCGACAAACGCGCGATTTGCATATCGTGCAGTGGGAACGGGGCCTTAGAAGCAGCTGCTCACAAACATGATGATTGTTAATGATTGGGCAAAATGTAAAGCAATGCTTTGCTGGGAAATGTATATTTCTTTGATCTGGACTCATTATTAAAAAACAGTTTGAGCAACAATCGCTATCACTTATCTCTGTTTAAACCAGAATTCAAGATGTTCACTGAATGTACTAGAACAATAGTTCAAAAATGTTAACTGGCTACGGATAGAATCACAATCTCTGAATGGTGCCCCGCAGGCACTAATACTAGTACAGTAGCAGAAGAAGCTTAACGTTGCAGTTCTGTTATTCTCTGTGAATGTATACTTCTGCTCTACTTGTATATTTCAGTATAATGTAAAACAAAAATAACACTTTCTTGATTGAAAAAAACAAACAAACAGTTTGAGAGTGTAATACTACTTTAAATAAAGCTTCTGCTGTAAGAAGACAAGGTGTTTTACAATGATTTTACCGACTCCAAGATTGGTATTATGGTGCTTAATGGGTATTTCAAAGTAAAAGGCATGATTATGTGACATACCTGCTTGGTCAGACCCTGGAAGAGTGCATTTGTAATGTTAAGCAGATTGTGAGAACCTGACAACCTGGCATACATGTCCTTGATGCCAATCAGTTTGCAGATAGTGATGATTGCTCTATGGCAATGAAGACCATAACCTATAAAAACATACACAAACGTGATGCTAAGTCATATGTGTTAAAAGAGGTATGTGATGGCAAAATTTTACAGGTAGAGACATGAATAAGTAACTTTAAAATTGTAAGATGATCCTAGGAAAAAGAGATCATTCACTATGAATGTGATAAACGCCCCAAAACACAAATTGTTAAACATCTTAATATTCAAACTGTTTATTTCAGAGTGTGTCTGAAGTGCAGCATATATACGGCATCTCCAAACTTTTGGCCACAGTGAGGAAAAGTTAGAACACCTGTCATGTTTTTACCGCTATCAGGGGCTCAGTTAGGCGGACCATACACTATTTAATCGGATTGTAAAATCTGCTTTAGTTCTACCATCAACTATGTAGAGCAAGCCTGTCTGATTAGATACAAACTGGATGAATTATTTAGCTTTGCCCTCGTATTACATCATTTTGGTAAATCTAGATTGTGAGATTGTATATAGAGCATGATTTTTAGAGAGTTTTCTCCTTGCTTCCTGTCTTGTCTTGCGTTGTGTTAACCAGAGGTGAGGGTAAATCATCAACATCAATACACAATTAAAATATCTTAAAACATTAGAGGAAGGTTAGTACCCTCATCAGCTTTTGTTGCCACTTCTCTTGCAGATTGCAGATTTTTCCTCACATTCCGTTTAATACAACCATTATCCCCATTACAGAGAGTAAAGAAAAATCTCTTCAAGGAGCCTCAGAGCGGTGAAAGCCAAACACGGGTTTCAAAACCTTAAAGGAGAACTATGAGCCGAGTGAAAATCACTCAGCCTCATAGTTCTAGTCGACCTGCAGGGATTCCCCCCTCCCCTGTCCGATCCTCCAGCGCTGACTGGCGGAACAGACGGGGGAGGGGCGGGTACAGCTGGCTCTGCCTCTAGTTAGGCAGAGCCAGCTGTCAATCCCGCAGCTGGGTGGATCTCGACAGTAAAGTCGGGATCAGTCCCGGCTGCGGCGTCTCAGTATACCGCGAGCTGTAGCTCGTGGTATACTGAGCTTTGGGTGACGGGAGGACGCTAATTTGTGCCCTCCCGTTACCCTTAGGAGAACTATGGGGAAAAGCCCTAACCCCATAGTTCTCCTTTAATCTCCCTATCCAAAACACCCCAAAAAACAAAAAAATTTGGGTTAATTTAGAAAAGTTTTACCTGAGGAAGTTTGTATTGCACTAGTGCCCCTAGATGGCACTGACGAATATAGGAATGTCCTATACTCGTCAGTGCCATCTTGGGGCGCTAATGCCATGCGAACAGCATCCCCAATGTACTCCTTTAGTTGAAATCACGCTTAAATACTGACTAGCAACCATATAATAATAATATTAACTAGTTTTGTTTTACGGGGTGCTAACATTTAATTGGCTGCTTTTGGCACTGTTTTCTATAAATGAAGCTCAGTGTAATCAATACCCCCACATCCTTAGTAGAAAACAAATCTGAAATATAGAGTCTGCTTATAAGAACGAGGCTTATCGCACCAAAAACAGTCATTTCAACAGCGTTGATGTCTGTGATTTACTTGGATGTTTTGTGGCTTTCCATTGTAATGATATGTTATTATGATGAAAAAGAAAGCAAAACACAACGCAGTCCCGGAGCATCCTGCAGTTCACTTACAGCATTTAAAACCTTCACTGAAACTGTAATAGGCAACACTGGTCAGTGCTAGGTAAAATTATTCCCTGCCCCTTGCTTTTTCACAGTGGCAGCACAAATAAACCTACAGATTTTATGTCTAGAAGAGGAATGTTGGCTCTAAATTATAGTTCAAGAACACAGAGTTCCCAACAGCCCACCAGAAAAAAAACAATAAATAAATAAATAAAACCTACAGGAACAATTTCAAAGAAAGGAAACTGGAGTCCACTGAGCTAAATTAAACATTTCAGCCATCTAGTAAATTAAAGTGTGATGAATAGCCTTTTAAAGCTCATTCGGATGAAAATGTGTACTGGAGTTTGTTCTCCATGCTGCAGCAAGGAAATCAATATATTCTTCACCGAGTAAAAATTACTTGTGGTTCATCTACTTTGTTTTTTTCAATTATAGTTTAGAAGAAAAAGAAGAATATTAGTGCAGGATACCATGCCCTTCTGTAATAGAATTTTTCCTGTTAGAATTGCTTTACAGGCCAGTTCTCCCCATCCGCAAGATTAGCGTTTTACTCTATTCATGTATTGTGATCAACATAAGAATTATCCCGATTATCCCTTTAAATCTGAACTCTCCTCCTTCCCACCACCAACCCCAAATAATCACTAAGTTAGTTTGGAAAAAATCAATGTCCCACATCAACTTTTTTCTCGAGGCACCCCAGCCTAAAATGTAAAAAAATGTCAATTTAAAAAAAAGAGACTTGTGGTGCCTCCAAAATCCATGCCAGTCTCTAATCCCAGATAGGGGTCTGCTATGGATTTTAAGGAGGGACCCCATGGAAAAAAACCCCTTCAGATCAGGAGCACCTTCTTCCCCAACACATGACCACGCCTGCACTTGAATTAAATCTCCCTAAAATGGGCAAAAATCAATCCTCTGTTATGTGCATGGGACTAGCAATTAGATGTTAGACCTCAGCACTATCCCATGGGAGGAATCCACATGGCCCCCCATACCTAGAAACACCAGGTATTGTTGCTGGCTACGAAGGAGGAAGAAAGTGGCAGAAAGGGAACTGACAAGGTGAATATCAGTGAAGGGTCCTTTGCAAAGACATTGTCACTTTGCCCTGAATAGGCAATGTGACAGTGTCTCTTCAAGAGTG